TAATACAACCGTAGTAACGGAAGAAGCGGGAGTGATGGGAAGCGAGGGTAGGTGAAAACTGATACATAGGCCTAGCAATCTTGTTGTTTGTTTACATGTGGTAAGGTCGAATTATTGTTTGAAATTAAAGGTACATTTATTAAACTTGAAACTTTCCATGAATCCCGAGGACTGGAAATGAGAGGATTGTATGGATACAGATGATTCAGCTGGTTGTCAGGGGGGGGGGGGGGAGGGGATGTCCCCATACCAAACCAGGTTATACAGAAATAATTTGTGTTCCTTTTTGGATATTAACCAATCAGAGACTAGAATACAAACAAAATTAAATTATCTGTAATTGTTTGAATACGTACATGTTAGACAAGAAAAAGAAATAACGATATTATACTGCAAATATTCACCATCATAACAGCTTAAAACAACAATCCAGACACATGAATTAAACATCAACGTAAAACATTTCAACATGTGATGTAAATGGAATGTAAAAGTTATGACACTTTCCCTGTCATTTTTGCTCAAATTTGCAGTGACTTGACGTCATATGCCATTATCACGTCATATCTAGGTAGTTCATAGCCTTGTCCCCTGCCTCATCCTTGGTCGGGAAGCGGAGTACACGAAGCAAAACAGGGACAGGGAACCAGGCTAGGTAGTTTAGAGAAGTTACTACGGCTGGTACACTGTGACATTCTTCGGACAGCCTTATCCTAGCCGCGTTCACCGTTCGTTCAGCGTGCGTTCACCGTTCGTTCAGCGTGCGTTCACCGTTCGCTCTCCGTTCACAGTTTTGCGTTCAGCATTCACCGTGTGCTCGCGTTCACCGTTCACAAAGCGTTCACTGTTTGCTCTTCGTTCGTTCATTTTGCGTTCACCTTGCGTTCAGCGTTCACTTATCGTTCAGTCTTCATTGTCATTCGGAACTCCAAAGTGAAAAGACTTATCTTTTTAAAGGGAAAAAGAACGTGAAAGTAAGGGTTTACTGGTTTAAAGTATCATGATTATTTTCTGGGGAAAAATTATCTCCAATATTTATTATTATTTTTTAACTTAACTGTTGATTATTCATTAAATTTATGATAAAAATAAATGTTGTTGGAAGTATATTCATTTAGTACGTTAGTACAAAATTAAATTTAAATACGGCAATATACATGTACGGATACGGCTCTGCAACATTTTGATATAAAGTCAAAGACCGCAAATCATTGATAGAGAGATGATAATCCAGGTCGCTTAATTAACCACCTGCTGAATAATTACCAAAATATTCATTTCTAATACGTTTTTTTCTCGTTTTGTTACTGTAGAAATACATGTGCATGTTACAACTATTTCTGAGAATTATAGATGTAGTATTGCGAAATAAATATCTACGGAGCGATGCACATTGATGGTATGGTTAAAAAATTATTTATTTAAATTGTAATACACTGGAATACACTTAAAAATAAATAAATAAAAACAGCAATTTTTGGTGGAACTGGAAAGGTATAAGGTTTCCTTCTTTACAAATATAGTCAAAGTCTACTCTATTTTAAGAGAGGAAAAATATCCTTCATCCCTGTAACTGTATATATGTTTACCATTTGATATAGTTAAGAGACCCCCCTCCCCCTTTCCCGAATCTGCCACTTCGTCAGTATTTTCGAATTCAGTATATTTTAGTTCACATTAAAAAGGAAGTCAATGCATTTTGTGACATTAAAAGTTTATAAATGTTCATGCATGTAAGGTAGCAATTAATTAACAAGTGTTTATGTCCAATGCACTTTATTTTTTTATTCATTTATTGAGCAATGTTTTGAATCAGATCTAGAAATGATCAAGAAAGTGTTTTAAACTCCTTGGGAAAACTAGATCTTTGCCTTGGGCGTGACGAGACTTTTACAGCAGCACAGTGTCAAATGATTTTGTTTGACAGGACAAGCACGTGGACTTCGTGTGAACTTGAAGCAGGAAAAAAAATATGACTGCCAACCAAGTTGATTTGTTGATAAAGATTTTTTTCATCTGATATATTTAAAAAATAAATAAAACTTCGGAATTTTCGCTTGATACGGGTACATGCATTTGGGAAAGGGGGGGCTATGACGGAATCTCTCTCTCTCTCTCTCTCTCTCTCTGTGTGTATAATTTGTCTTTTTATATATAAGTATGGCAGCATATTACTAAAATATCAAGTACTGAAATTCAAATCTATAATAAATAATATGAATGCATGCCTCTTTGTATCCTCTTGTCCACATGTCATGACGGGGAAAGGGGGGTCTAAGGTAGAAGTCTGCCAAAAAATCGTTAAATATAAAAATGTCACATTAAAATATAATTGCATAAAATTTTACAATGCCTGTGTGTTTACGTAACACAGCCACAGAGCTTTGTAAAAAAAATTCTTTGTGATTTTTTTTTTACATGGAATCGCCTCTGTGTGGAAACACACGTATCCTTGTAATTTTCTCTACTTTGACTACAGAGTTTTGTATTAGTAACAGTGTAAAACAGCGATAATTCTTTTGTGACTAAACAGCTTATATTTTAAACATAATATATATATATATATATGCAGAAAATATTGTAAGAAACACAAATAATGGGCGTCCTTAATGTGCATCTTCTAACGATAATGTGGAAACGTTTATTTATTTATTCATTTATTTATTTATTTGTTCTGGAAGTGTTCAGAACAATTTATAACATGGTATGCTAATGTCGGCACTCCAAAATTAATTTATTTAGGCGATGTATTGATGTCTTTGCACCTAACAATAGAAAAAATTAGAATGCATAAAATGCAAGGAAAAGATTGGAGACATTCCGAATAAATCGTTCATCTTGCGTTCACCGTTCGTTCACCGTTCACTTTGCGCTCGCGTTTGCGCTCCGTTCGCGTTCTGCGTTCGCTCACCGTTCAGCGTTCACCAACCGTTCACCAAATTGCGTTCAGCGTTCACACATTGTTCACTCATTCGCTCTGCGTTCGTTCAGCGTTCGTTCATTTCGCTCACCGTTCAAGTGGGAACGTAGAACGTTTCAGGGACTGTATCTATACAATACATCTAGACATATTTAAAATTTACTGTTATTAGGTTAGAGAAATGATTAACCTTAACTTTAAATTGATTCGGACAATTTGTAGCCTATATTTCTCTGAGAAAGCAAAAGTGTTAAAAAATGATTGGTTGGGGCAATTTTGACTTGTCGACGAAAATCAAACAAATCATCTTTTATTGTTCATTGTTGGTCTTAATTATTTTTATTCTATTTTTTCATTGGGTACTGACCTTTCCCGTAAAGAAAATTTCTGGATCAGCATCTGTACATCACAACATCATCAATTTCTCGGTAAAAGTTTTCAAAAACAATAATAACTAGAAATATATCTATAGGACATGAATGCCCCGCCGAGTAAATATTAGTAATGCAACATGATGATTTGTATAAGTATACGAAATTTTGATGGGAATATCATGAATAGTTTCTTTAAAATTGAAATTGAAATCTAAAAGAAATCAATATAGATGATAAATTCTCACCAAATTATGTGAATTACATAAACTTACATAAAAAATATTTTAAATGTTTACTTAAAACTAAATAAAATGCAAATTAAAGACTAGTTAGATCATGGTCACAGGAAAGGGCAAGGTTAAAAGTTCTTGATATAGTTGAATAGTTCTCAGTAAGATGTATCAGCATATTAAGTATAACAAAAAATATCTTGGATGGTTTCTTTAAAACTAAGTTTAACACTAAATACGAAAAGTGAGGTCAAGGTCAAAGGAAAGGTCAAATGTTGATGCAGTTGAATAGTTAACATCAGTATGTATTAGCATATGAAGTTTGATAAAATATCATGAATGATTTATTCAAAACTGAGCTAAACACAAATTAAAGAAAAGTGAGGTCAAGGTCAAAGGAAACATCAAGATCAAAATATGTTGAAGCAATTGATAGCTCTCATCAGTGTGTATCAGCATATGGAATTTAATTACTCTATCTTGAATGGTTTCCTTAAAACTGAGCTAAACAATAACTTAAGAAAAGTAAGGTCAAGGTCAAAAATTGTTAATGCAGTCGAATAGCTCGCAGCAATATCTATCAGCATATGAAGTTTGATTTTATTATTTTGAATGGTTTCTTTGAAAGTGAGTTAAACACTTATTTAAGAAAAGTGATGTCAAGGTCGAATGAAAGGTCAGAGTCAAAAAATGTTGATGCAGTTGAATAGCTCTTATCAATATCTATAAGCATAGGAAATTTGATAAAAATATCTTGAATAGTTTCTTTGAAATTGAGTTTTGAACTGAGCTAAACGCAAAACGAAGGACAGAAGGGAGGACAGAAGGACGGAAGATGGACACGACAAACTTTATATACCCCGGCCATTTTCATGGCGGTGCATAAAAAGTCTACATCTGAGATATACTGTAAACATATAACTTTCTCTCTCTTTCTTTTTGGGAAACAGATAAAGACAAACTGTAGGAGGAATTAAACAGATTGTGTTTTCTGATACACTGTATATCCCCCACTAAATTAGTATTGTTTTCCCTTCATGTAGCCTTTTGTTGCAACATTTAAATAGAGATAAAACATGCTTTTTTTGTTCTTTAATTTTAGGATTGGGGTTGTAAAGAACTTTATCCTATATTAACAACAAAATCTATCAGGTGAAATCATCGTATAATTTAAATTAAAATGATAAATTTTGAATAATTAATGACAAATTCTGTTCAAAACAGTAACACTACTGTATTATTTGACTGCGTTGAATAAGAGGACGACCTTTTGATTCAGAGGGTTGTGTGCAAATTTTTTGGAGTCAATTTATTTATTTTCCTCAGAAAAGTGAGATGGGTTTTTTTTATTATTATTCAAGATTTTGAAAATACACAAGGTAATATATGCAGTAAATTAATGGTGATATCAATATATCTTATCTTTCTCTCCTGATCTATCATTACTAAGACAAATTTTCAGTACCCATTACATACCTAAGGTTCCTTCGGCACTTCTTCCCAGAAAGAGTTTATATTTCTCTTCTTCATTTGACACCGAAAATTTCTCGTATAATTCATACAGTCTCCTACCATCTACATGGGTGATAGAAATATATAGAGAGGAGTCTTGTCCCTTTGTCAACTCGTGGATCACGTCATTTCCTATTATAAAGTATATTCAAAATCATTTAAAGTTAATTTGTTGTAGCAAATATATCCTAAGGAGAAATCAAATTATATATTTAAAGCTGATTAAATGTATTTCTCATAATAAAACACTTCTTGTTTAGATACTTTTGTTACTTTTTTTACATAATTGAAGACTGATTTTTCTTTCTTTTCGTTCAAAGTTTTCTTTTAAAGATTTTGAGAAAATACGGGGAATATAATACGAATTAAATTGAGATTGTCGAATACATACTATTCAGTCTTGAAATCATAGGTTTTTTTTTTTTTTTTTTTTTTTTTTTTTTTTTTTTTTTTTTTTTTTTTTTTTTAGAATATAGAAATAAAAAAAAACGTTTGGCGAGCACTTTAAAGATTCGATATTCATTATTCTCTATTTACCTATCCAAACGTCATTTTCTGGTTCACCAAAACCAACCTTATATTCATCCCATTGTTTTACAAAGCTAACTAATCCAGCTCTTTTTTGGATAACCTTTGTAAGAAAAAAATCAAGAATTATTATTAAATTGACATATTATTAAATTGACATATCATTAGATTGGCATATTATTAAATTGGCATATTATTAAATTGACATACGGTATCATTTAATTGACATATTATCAAATTGACATATAATTAAATTGACATATTATTAAATTGACGTATTAATCTTTCTCTAAAACCATAAATTCACATATTCCTAATTATACCATTTATATCATGATCGTTGCCCGATCAATGACGCCAGACAAACCAATTGCAAGTGATGGAGTATTCAGCATTACTTGTGAAAACTTCTTATTTCCCCACAATACTTACTTAAACTTAAAGATGTAATTTTTATTTACATTGAGAATTAAAAAAAAAAAAACAGAAAATTTGAGTCAGTGATTCTTCGTGATCAAGAGATCCATCAAGATATCCATGAACTTAATTGAACATAAATATCGAGGTTTTACAAGAATGACAACTGAAGACCTCTCTTTGGTCGGAACGCTGCCTCAGGTGACATGCATTTTATGGTCTGGTGAAAAAGAATCTATTTCTTTCTCTCAACATGCAACTAGTGTCATGAGAGTTCTAGAGTTCAGCTTCACTGGTTAAGATTGTTTAGCTCCATCCTCGAGTATAAGAACGGAGGGGGGGGGGGTTAATTATTTAAATTTTAAGTAATTTAACGAAATTGGCTTCTAGTTTTACGTGAGTAAATAAGGTTTAAATATATTTAATATAGTTTTATGCATAATTGACTTAATAGGCCTAAGTCTAGAAAACAATCTCATATACGATTGGCCGTTTGTTTTTCGCTTGAATTATGGATTAATCATATGGATTAATCATATTAAACGAAATATTTAACAAAATTTAACAGGAGACCGAACGAAAGAGCTTTCTCATTCATTGTTAATGGAGAAAATGATATGTTCCGTCAAGTGAATTGTATGTATTTTACATCGCAAAATGCTAGCAAGGAGTTTTTGTTCAAGAGAATAGAAGGATACCTTTTTCCCTGTCAGAAAGCTTGAAAAGGTATAATAGGTGACACAGCAACTTTCGAAACGGGGAACCTCCCATTTGTTCGTAAACTGTGTTTTTTTTTTACCTTTTGTACTTTTATGATTCAATTCTAAACAATGAAAAAATAAAAAAAAAAACCAAAACAGAGAAGGACATATTGATGGGGTTGACGCAGAAATCACATATTTTTTATGAAAATGTTAGCTTTTTGGAAATAAGATTTAATGGGATGCAGTGGTAGAGAGCAGATATATTTTATATTCGCGTCAGGTGTTTGTGTGTCCAAACAAGTGATAAAACTAAATTTAACAAGAGTACCGCAAGGCGGAGCATACCCGTCAAATTAGCTTATCGATCCCGATGCAAGTTACAACACTTCTGTTTCCTACAGCGCTAACGCACTCACAAACGAACACACAATTGCGTTACTATTTCTCCTCTAACACCGTTGCAGGGGGACAATAAAGAGGGGTACATTTCATCACATACGTTACTTCAATCAAGATGAACTAATAAATTTACAAAATTAGATTTAGTTTAAAAGAAGGAAACACCTTTTTCTGCATTTCAGTTTTCTCTTTCTTTTTCATAGTACGCATGCACAGTTCTGTGTTCGAATTTTTGCGCTCTCCACGCAACAGAATGTTTAAAGATCCTTGTTTTTTCTTAAATCCCTGATACTGCGAAAAGTCCCTCTAGGTTGAGCTTTTTTATTCGTTATACAATGTCTACATAGTAATGAATTGACCAAATACCCACTAGAATAAATATAAAGTAGATGCTCAATTTTTTTTATTACTAATGAGAAATTCTCTCTAAAAGTTCAGGTATTGGAAACAAGCTATGAGAAACTAGAGTGTTTCAAAGTTCGTAGTAAAAACTTATAAATGTGTGCATTTTGCCATCTTCAACAAAGAATTAAGCAAAAATAGGGAAAAATGCTTTATAAAATTTTTAAACAGTTTTCTTTTTTTATTAAATAGTTGTATATTTGAGATCAGTAGATCGGCTCAATGTAAAATATTTTAAAGAAATACAAAATAGCGCGAAAAAACCTTAAACCTTTTGCCATTCTGAAATAGATTTTACGGATTTAGGAATATTGAAACAAAACATAAAGTCATAATAAATGGAAGAGCGGGAAAATTATGTGATTTTAAATAGATATGCAGTCATTAGAGATTCAAGTGAAATTCACAATTTTCAGAAATTCAAAGGACCTAAAACATACTTAAATAAACATTTTTCTTTGCTCTATGAGCAGCATCTATACATATTTAAAATCATTAACGAAGGAAATAAACACGATATACTTCCCTTTATTTGATTTTCTAACATCTCTTCGACATTATACCTAGGATAACGCTGCCTGTAAAACACTGAGTGTACAATATGTAGTAGTTTCTCCCAACTACCTTAATTTAAACGTCATAATAGCAATGACGTCACGACACAACAATAGATCTGACATTATCATACGTTAAACATGTCTTTCACATTAAAAGTCTTTACGTTACGAATGGTGTGTTCGTGTTTTGATCGTGAATATTTGCAATAATATCGTAATTCTTTTTTTTATATATATATGCTGCGTATTCAGATAATAAAAAAAATGAATTTGATATGTTCCACATAACACATCCTTAAGCAGAGTAAAAATTTATTGTTTGCGTATAGAATCAACTGATTCATACAGATAAATTGAAGATACTCTGAGTGAATCTATAAATAAGCAAGTACATGTACTCTTACTGAATATTCCCGAGGAATTTTGTTTTAAATCCTATCTTGCATAAATTGCAATGTACAGGAAGAAAGAAGTCATTACTTTTGGGGAGAAAAGAAATTCTCGTGAAATAATATCCATACAGCTAAAATTTAAATCCGCACCCAACACTTCCAGGATACAAATTGATATGGTTAACTGATTTACTGTAACAAACAAGATGTGTTTGTGAAACAATGATGCCCCCGTATGGCAGCTTATGATGAAGGTTGATGTTCCTCAAATGCAAGTCAAACTCCAAGGTCAAGGTCAAAAAGTCAAAATTGATGGTATCAAGAGAAATGTATTGTCACAAGGAATACACCTGTGAAATATGAAAGCCCTAGTAGTAACGGTTCAAACGTTATGAACAACGTTAAAGTATTTTTGAAGTGGATCGAATTCAAAGGTCAAGGTCAAAAGGTCAAAAATATTTATACCAATTTAAGGTCTTGTCACAATGAATACACATGTAAAGTTTGAAAGCCCTAGCACCAACTGTTCAAAAGTCATGGCCAAGGTTAAAGTTTGGTATTTTTTGTAAAAGTGTGTCAAACTCCAAGGTCAAGGTCAAGAGGTCAAATTTGGTGATACCCCCCCCCCCCCAAAAAAAAGGATGGTCACAAGGAATACACCTGTGAAATATGAAAGCTATAGCACCAACCAGTCAAAAGTTAGGGGCAAGGTTAAAGTTTTTGCGGACAAACAGACAAACAGACAGACGGACGGACAGTACAAAAACTATATACCCCCGACTTTTCGATTATGAAGACATAAAAATGCACTATCACTTTCGCCGATGTAATTTATAAATAACATGTGTCTGTCAGATGATAAAAAGTCATGTGACGTCACAAAAAGTTAAAAAAAAAAAAAAACAAAGATCAAGTACTGTGAAATCACTTATTTTCAAGGTGGTTTAATTTCAATTGTTTTCAAGGTATGAAGGGAACCGCTAAATCATATCCATGTCGAAATATAAAATTTCATATGCAAAATAACTCAGCCTTACTAAAACAACGAAATCAAACCAAATATTTTTCCTCAAATTTCGAAAAATTGATCCAATGCAAAATGTGATTCAACAGTGTAATATATCTGATTAAACTCCTTCGCAAATTGAGGATACGTACATACACAGACATTTTAGGGGGAAACCGAACTATATTCCAACTTGCCTCTACAATATGACCTCATACTAACTTATATGACGTGAACGTTACAATAAAGGTTTTAAAGCATTTAAAACTTCATTCATTGCAAGATATAATGTAAATTGAATCTTGGCATTTTTAGATACTATAAATAACGAAGTATTTGACACGGGCATTAAAAACCTAACCCATGACGTCATAGCTTTTGATCAAATTTTTGCCGAGTGAAAATTGTTTAAATAGATCCGAGTTTTCTCTGCTCTCAATTAGTATTGTTTAAACGGACTTTTGAGCTAGCTTACTATTCGTTATGTTCATATTTAATATATGAAGCTATATCAAAAAAATATATACCGTCCATCCCCCATCCATAGTCTTCATATCACAGTAGACTCTGACTAAAATGTTGATGTCCCCATATGGATATATCTCATACACACCGGAAATATTTTGACCATTTTTATGAAGATCCTTACAATCTTTAGGAAGAACTGAAATAGGAAATGGAAAATGCAGTTCATAACATTTAATTGTATGGATGATTTTGTATGACATGATGAATGCCTGAAAAAGCGCCGATTTGTTTGTTTGTATGTTGTTTAACGTCCCTCTCGAGAGTTTTTCACTCATATGAAGACGCCGATTTTTAAGAGGTGTGCATGTGACTATCCGAACCTATAAGAGCCGTATAGTCACAACTAGACAGAATTCAAAATTCAATATTTTTTTATTTAATTGTATTATCAAATAATCAGAAATTTTGAAACATTTCTTGTATCTAACGAATAAATACTCATAATATAATGCATAACACAACAACGTAATATGGTTAAATTTCAACAGCTAAACAACTGTAACAGTTTTAAAGTTGAAAACAATATCATTAAACAATAAATACTTAACATTTTACTAATAAAGGAATTAAGTCGTCTCGGTACGGGCGTCTGTCGTTCTTACCTTCACAGCGGCTCATGGTAATCATTTAAGAAAATTGGTTTTAGCTCTACCGAAAAAAAAAATTGACAGATCTTTTTTTCTTAATTGACAGGCAAATAGTTTTTTTTCCGAATTATAACTGTTTCTGATTAGTCGATTGAATTATTGTGACTTAATGATACCTCTACGAATTCCATAAAACATCAAAGTCACAAGAAAACAAAATCAGGTAACACAATCGTGACAAAACTTAAGACTCACTGGCACTACAATCAACGTACAGGATAAAGCGTTGGATATAAATGAGTTGCTGAATTTTGATGAATGAAATAAAAATAGTTTTTAATTGATTTGGTTTGTTTTTCTTATAACAAATTTCAGAAAACTTTGACTTAGTTAGTCCCCGCGGGATGAAAATATTGTTTCTTTTCCGTGTCTATTAATATTTCATACATTCTTCGCTAATAATTAATGTTGCCCCAAACCCTGTCAATGTTTGATTATTAAGGTCTTCCGTCTTCAGCGGAAGACCTTCTTGTTATTCTTAGGTTTCTTTTTCACTTTTATTATTATTATTGTTTTTTTTCTTACCGATTTTGTGCACGCGATTTCTCGAAAACGGCTCGATGGATTTCCATGAAACTTTCAGGACATATGTAACATCAGTTGAACCTTATGCGATTTTTTCTGTTTTGATGACGTCACTTCCGGTCCGGAGATATTGCCGATTTAATGGTTTTCGAAGGGCCGGATTGTCCGCAGATGTTCTCATATACTGCTTTAGTTAGAAACATGAAACTTTCAGGTATGGTAGACCTATCTCTGTAGATATGCGGAAGGCGTTTCATTTTTGTCGGAAGTGCCGCGCGTCGGCGCTCGCTATGGCCCGAAAAAAGTCCTATCGGGAATTTTAAATTTTCTAACACTTTTTCTATAATATCTTCTTACCTGTAAATATTTTGTTAAAACATATAGAACAAAAGTTGTGTAGAATGTTACGATCTTTCAAAGGATACCAACAATAAGGGCCTGGCCCCTAACATTAGGGAGCTAGAGGGGCCAAAAGTGTTTTCCTGATATCTCAAAAAGTATTGAGAATTTGTATAGCATCATAGAAGCAAAGTTGTTCAAAATGATAAGTAGCAGCTAAGGAGACCATTAAAAGTCGTCAAAATGACGTCACTTCCGGTCACACCGAGAGTAATGGTAAATGGCTCATTTTTGAACATATGACCGTAGAAGTCTCTCGATCTCAATCTCATCTCCTTCAAATTTAGACGGAAGACTTATTTGTTGCTTTGCAACAAGCTCGTCTAGTTAAGGTCTTCCGTCCCAACGGAAGACCTTCTACTGATTCTGATGGTTAAGATTATTATTCTTTTTTAAGGTCTTCCGTTTCCAACGGAAGACCTTCTACTGATTCTGATGGTTAAGATTATTAAGGTCTTCCGACTTCAGCGGAAGACCTTACTGTTATTCTTAGGTTTCTTTTCCACTATTTTTATTATTGTTTTTTTTTCCTACCGATTTTGTGCACGCGAGTTCTCGGAAACGGCTCGCCCGATTTTCATGAAACTTTCAGGTCTGATAGAGAATTAAAAAATCTAGATATATATTTTTTTATTTTGATGACGTCACTTCCGGTCCGGAGATTTTCGAGATTTTGTGATTTTAGAGGGTAAGTTTGTCCGGGCATTTTCAAGAAAAGCACTTAACACAGGAACGTGAGATTTTCAGTGATGATACAGCAACATATGTAGATTTGTACTTGGAAGTTCATTTTTACCCGAAATACCAAACATCAACGTCCGCTACTGCCCAAATTTTTATCTTCTTTTTCCTACTTGTTAACTTTGATGCCTCATATCTTGCTTATTTCTCAAGGGATTTTAATAAAAATTTCAGAGTTTATAGACGTTACAAAACTCTATCAGAATAATATAATATTTTTCCAAAATCCACTTCCGCTTTCGAGTTATTTCCCTTTAAGTGAAAATTTAGGGTCTTTAATTTCCAGACAAATATTCCGAGACTACGAAAGTTGGAACATAAATACTACTGAATGTAAGAAACAGAAGCAATGAAGTTGTGAACATTGGTTTTTGTTTTTTGATTTCTGCGTTCAAACTGCCGCTAGATAGGGGTCAAAAATTAGGACGCATAAAAGAGCAAAAATTGACACGTTTTCCTTTGTATCTTTTAAATAAGAAATATTTTATTAAGACATGTAGAATAAAAGTTGTAAACAATTTAATTACCTTTTATTTGACACCACTAAAAAGGAGCTGGCCCCTTAAATTAGGGATCTAGGGCCCTTGAAAGTTTTTGCTTTATAACTCAAAAACGAGAAAATATTTCGATATGGCTGTCGATGAAAAGTTGTTCCTTTATACCTTCTTTGTCTCATGAAAATATTATTTTGTTCAGTCTTGTGTATGGTAGGGAAGAAAAGCTAGACCCGTAAACAAGGACCCGTTTTCATTTGTGAAGAAGAACTCTTTATGCGTATAACTGAAATAAACCTGCCATAAATAATATATCTTTCAACGCTGTATCCTAATTTTTTTAAATTAAGTTTTAAACGTGCTCTTTGGTTCCTATTCAAATTATTCGGTGACAACTTTCTCTTTTTATTGTGTTTTAAAATAAAGAACCTTCCAAGAGAGAAAGAGAGAGAAACAGAAAAAAGTACAAGTATCTTTTCTTTGTTTAAATATGAAAGCAAACAATATAAACGCGAAAAAACTTTTAAGAGTCAAATAATTCACAATCATTAACTGCGTGATTCTTACATTCACCTGAACCCCAGATTCTATTCTGTTTACCGTTACGTAACCCATCCCTCGATCACGCGCGGCCGAGAAGATCTAAAGCGATCCACCGCGTGTGAACCATTGACCCACAGTCGTAAACAAAATAAAAATCGGCGTATTAAGTCTATTTTGTAAACAATTAATGGACAATTATTAATATGGAATATTTGAGATTATGTTGGTTTATCTTTGTTTTAAACGTGATCATGATACATGTAGCCTTAATCCAAAACGTCTGGCCAGGTTTTGTGTTTGTTTACAATTACGCAACCATTAACCGTTCCTTCGATCGCTTGTGGTCAAAGCAATCCATCGTGTGCATGTAAACCAGTGCGCAGTCATCAAACATTGTTGTTCTAAATCTAATTTGCAAACACAACGACTTACACGGGAAAATATTATTTTCTTTAAGTAAATCGAATCTTTCAAATAAATTATCTTAATATCTTAGATTTGATTTAAGTACAAAACGCTAAGCATTTAATCAGTCTTGAATTTTAAATGTTCGTTATCTCCATATTTCAATTGTTTTAACGTTACCAACAATTTATTTCCCAACCGTGTGTAATTTTACTTTTAATTTGGTGATTCATTGCGCATGGAGTAGCGATCTGCGGTTACTTTAATTTAACAATTAAACGCACAAGCTTTGCGCTTTCTCTACTTTTTGAAACAGTAAATTAATCCGTTTTCAACACAAATATTTCTAGTAATATTTTTTTCATCACAGGTTTTTATCATGATTATACCAACTTTAAACTTTTAAAGAGAATCTTCCGAATCATAAGGGTGAGCAGTCTTACTTTAAAAATGATTCGTTATTTTTTTGAAAAGTAAACAATGATATGGATTAAACATTGATAGGTAACTCCGTCACGTGGCCAAGGTCTGAACTTCATAAGCAACTTCTGTGTTGCACTATGCCTATTTATATTACAGGGTTGATAGTAAAGTTTTAATAAAATACCTCAAGATTTTAAAGCAATGAATTTTGTTTTTATAATTAATTCAAAACCCGTAAATGATCTTTTTTAAGTATAGTATGCTAACATCATAATTTTGTTGTGGGATTAAATATCGGTAGCGGGTTATACATGTAGATAACAATAAACCTATATCGTATGTCCAGAACTGTAAATTTCAGAATGCATATAACATATTTTTTTTTAAATATCAATTGGGACGGAAAAGGTACACACCGGGAAAATTTTAGCATCACTTGAATATCTAACTGCAGAACTGTACATGTAGCTTTCCAAAAAAAAAAATATTGATGGACCGGAGTCTCTGGTCATCCATCCCATTTTTTTTTTCAGACCAGTGAATTTCAGTGCAGCTACTGAATATCACAAATTTATCATTCTTAATTACTACACTCTGACAACTTTTTTTCAATTATTAAAATAATAATCGGCAGCCTTTGTATCATAAACTATTAAGCTATTTGTATCCTTTACCGTATAGAATTGAGTATTTTCTTTCAAATAATTGACTTGTAACTTACGTACATTACTTTTCTGGATTAGTTTTAAAAAATACGAGAGAGAGAGAGAGAGAGAGAGAGAGACTCATTTGCTCATGTACATATATACTAGGTAGTTCCTTTATCAAATATTGTTCAATTTTCTTAATTTTATTTACAATATCAATCATAATCTCTCTATTCTGTAAATCTATTTGTTGATTATTTTCAACTTCAATCACAATATGTAGTACTAAAATGAAGTCCATGCACGGGTGCT